AATAGCATTCCTGGACAACTTTAGGATGGATAAGACAAACATTAATGCGCTTGTACAATTAATTGAGTGTTCTTTACATTTAATATGCAAAAAACGATTTTCAATTAAACAATAGAAATTCAAACAAATTTGGCCCGAATTTCACTCCGGTAAATGTATATCCCTCAAAAACCTCGCTATTCAAACATTTTGGGAGGTAGGTTTGTATGAAATGGTACCCCTTAGCACATTTAGCTGCAGTCACAATGTCATGTTTCTGCGCAGAGCTTCAAGCACTGAAGTTGTTGTTTCCGAACTCCGCTAGCGGGATTGCTAGGACTTTACCCTCATTCCTGTTATACATCTTTAAATTTCCGGACTCGAGATGTGGGCCTTTGGTGTCGCTTTCAGACAACTTAAATCCTTTACAACGATATCGAGGGGGAAAGCATAAGCTGTGTATGTGGGGCGGGAATGGCCAAATCTAGGTGGGCTGGCACCCCGTCATACGCAAAGACCACCGACTTATCGGGATCCATTATTTCCTCGCCCGTGCCAGAACAAAAACCGACACAGTATTCATTACTCCAGCAGATGCCGAGGAAAACATTGACAGGTGATATTGCCATGGTCATAGTCAAGTTTCGTCCTCTTTGGCCGCACACTTAGCGGTACGCCCTCCACTCCCTGTCGCGCCCCACCATGACTTCTGGCCGCCTAATGAAAATGTATACCCGCAGCCGTCGACGAACAAGCAGTGGCGAAGTACGGCGTGATTCTTTAAACAAATTCAGGCCAATTTTGGGGGGAATTGGTATTGTTTAATTGAAAATAGATTTTTGTATATTAAATGTAAAGAACGCTCAATTGATTGTACATGCGCATTAATGTTTGTCTTACCCATTCTAAAGCTGTCCAGGAACGCTATTGAATTGCAAAGAATGTCATAAAAATGTTAATGAATAGCGTTTGCACTTAAATGTTTGTCTATTGTCCCTAATGATTTTCAAGGCAATGTTAATGACTCGCATGTTGGCGTTAATGAAAACATATTTTTCTCTTTTGTATGTCGAATGACGCAAATGAATGCCCAAAAATGTTATTGAATGTTGATTAAAATGCAAAAATCGTTATTGAATCTGATTTACGCGCAAATGTTCGCTTTTTCGCGCTAATGAATGTATCTTCGCGCTGTTGGTCGCCTTTTCACGCAAATAAATGCGTATTTTCTCGTAATGAACAGCAAAAGGTGTATTTTTGCTGCTTGATAATCTGTCAAATACGCACTCTTAGTACTTTGAGAGAAGCCAAGTAAAAGTAAGAAGTATCGAGTAATTAGTTAACACGCTCGTGCCTTAAAGCATTTAAGAATAATCAAGATCCCTTAATTTGAAGCAGTTAAATGCACTGTTTTTGCTTTATCTGTAAAGCTCTTTATTTTCGTAAGAAAATACTTCCCTATTCACCACATGGGTGGCCCCCATTTAATTAGGCAGATTTTAAGATGAAATCCATTAATTTTAGTGGACAAAAACCTTGTACCAGAATAATTTAAAGCATATTCCATTTTTTTAAACATTTTTCTAGAACTATAGATGTAATTAGTTGTCTGTAATTACACCAAAGAAAATATCTAAGGGGACGCCGAGAAAATTAAATTTCAATGTCCGCAAAATGACATCTTACGCGTGCAATTTTCAGAGTTTTAACTATGTTTAAACAATTCTTGTGAACTTTGACATTTATTTTCTCGGGCTCCCTATATGAAATTATCTTTGGTGTTATTACAAATAACTAATTACATCTATAGCCCTTGAAAAGTGTATAAAAGAATGTGACATTGTTTAAATTATTCTGGTACAAGGTGTTTGTCCACTGAAAATTAAAATTACTAAATTTCCAGGTGGATTCTGTCTTAAAGCCTGTTTTTATCGGTGTCCTATTGTGCGATTCTAGTAAAAGAGTTGCCTTAATTGTTTGGCGGTAATCTTTGATTAAATAATTAAGTTTATTCTTTTGTAAAATGACTTAAAATTGTTTTGGGTTAAAAATAAGTATACTGTTATTGTTGTTGTATTTCAGGACCTGATTAGTGGACCACCTCCCTAGCTTAACACTAAACAACACTTCTCTATCAACAGCAATTTAAAATAATTAAGATGTGGGTAACACCTTATTTCAATCAACAGAATTAAAAATGATTGCAAACTGTCATCGCCTTTTTATTCTCTGACTGATGATCGCTTTCATTGTGATAAAGCACCAACTGACTGACGCATACATGTATTGTTGCTCCAACAGAAGATCACAAAATTGGGCGGGACTGATTATAGCAGTTCCTGCAGCTGATGAGAATAAATACATCAGAGCATTATCACTGGATTGTCAGTCACTAAGGGGAATCCTCCTTCATATTTATATTCTACATTGCCGTTGCACATTTCCCGTGTCCGGAAAGTTCACTGTGTTCTATTTGGGCAAGATAAAAAACAACGATAGAATCAATATATGACGGGCAGTTCTTCACAGGATATGGCCGGAAAAACCAACTCTGCCTCCAAATCCTTCCTACAGTACAAGAACTGCATTTTTCTAAGCCTCTTTTACTTGTTTTTTGAGACGTGTTTCAGTTTTAAAATGTTCTTCATGCCCGTCTACTGGCAGCAGCTTGGCCTGTCTCCGACACAGATCGGAATTTTACGAGCTGTTTGGGGTGTTGCTTACTCCGTAGGAGCTGTTCTCTTTGGAAAACTAGCCAACAAATTTCGAATCCGACGCGCATTACTTTTGATGAGCATTTTATCGACGATGGTGACGCCTTTAGTTTCTTTGCTTCCGAGGAGAACCCATGATACCTGCACCGTGAAGTGGGAGCAGGTGTCCAACGCTGCCTTCGAACGTCAAGTAAGCCTCTTCCGGCACACGGATTACAAACGACACAAAAGTTATAGACGGGAAACCAAGGTTAATGCTTTAGAAGCTGACATGGCCAGTAATTATCAGCAACTAAACGATATCATTGGCCTCTCACCTTTGAACCTACTTAAGGAAAAAGAGGTGCTAAGACACCGTGAACTACAGACAAAAACAAATTTAAACAATTTTAGAAAATTATTAGAGGAAGAGAGTCACAATTCAAGGCAACTTATATCCCATGGAAACCATCAGTTACGGATCGACTTTCAGCAGCAAACATCCAAGAAAATCCCAAGACAGTTACAAGAAAACCAAGAAGAAGTCTCTGTTCTTGAAAAAAGCCCTAAAGATATCACAAACATATTTATTATGTTTATCTTCATCGTGTTTATAGGGGAACTTCTATCGTCTCCCGCCTTCAACTTGGCAAATTCCGAGATTGTTGAATTCTTAGGCGAAAACAGCCGGGAATTTGGCAAGATTCGTCTCTGGGGTCCTATCGGTCACATAATTGCGGCGCCGATCACTGCTTACTTGGTGACTCATTTCCATTACATGCTTTGTGGAGAATACCAAGACAATTTTGCTATTGCATTTGTTGTAATAGCATTAATGGCCTTTGGCGCTTTTGTGTCTGTGACGCAGTTTGGAACCGTGCAAGCCCGTGACTGTAAAAGGAATCAAAAAGAAGACGAAACCCCAATGACTCTTACAAAATTCTTTGCTCAATATCAAAACTTTATCTTCATCACTATGACCTTTTTAATTGGGTGTTTCGACGGAGTGGTGTTAACGTTTGGCTTTTGGTACACTAAAACTCTCGATGTCAGCGTCGCAACCTTGGTGTTCGGTTTCTCCAGAATGACTTGCTCTGCTGTGAGTGTGCTATTCCTGGGCGCAATTGGAATGTGCGTAAAAAAGACAGGTTATGCTGGAGTGGTGTTGTTTTCCATGCTGCTTTTCGTCAGTTGGTTTGTAGGGATGTCGTTCATGAAGAACCCTTGGTTTATGCTTATCTTTGAGACGATCGGTTACATAGCGTATGTGGTAGGATTTACAGGCCTCATCAGCTACTTTGGTGAGGTCACACCAGCTAATCTGATGGACACGGTGCAAGGTAAGCAAGAGGCTATTTTAGACCTCTCTGTGTAAACACGTCTCATCCTGTCTCAACAGATATTAACCAAAGAGAACAAACCTAACTAAACGTGTATTAAGCGGTCTACCTTTAGGAAATCCAGGTTAACAGGGACGACGGAACATTTTTCCAAGCCATGGGGGTGGGGTGAGGGCGGCTGACTAGTGACGGACTCAAAGTGGGGATGCTAAGGAGATCATCTTCTTCCAGCCTTCCAGTCTCCAAATCTTCCGACCATCTTACTAAGCATGCCATTTTTACTTTTTTTGTTTCTTAGGTGGAGTGAACAGTCTTTTTCTTGGAGTGGGGTGTGGTATAGGGACCGCTTTGTGTGGTTTTTCAATTGACATATTCGGTGCTGTGAAATCATTTCGGTTTTTTGCCATAGGCACATCTCTTCTGATCGTTCTTTTCACCATCTCTCAGATCCCGACTACAATGAATTTCTTCCGTTTTTCCTTTAAAAAGGAAAGGGGAGAAATTTAATGCTGTCATACTGTTATTGTACATGAATGGGATCTCTAATGGCGCTGCGATTTTACATTTTACATCTTATGACGTAAACTGTAACTCCTTTCCCAAAGTTCCCAAGGTAAAATGGCTCCCTGAAAACATTTGAAAAGGGAAAATACGCGATATTTATATAGAAGTTTAGGATTCTAAAGTTTCCTTTAAGTCCACCTGTCAAATTTGTAATTTCCAAAAATTTTAAGTTTATTTTATATGTTAATTTCCAAAAAAGACCACTGTCATAACTTAGGTCTTACATATGACCTATATAAGTAAAGTAAATAAATAATACCGAGTTGCTTTCTCTCGCTAATTACAGTGCAATATAAAAAAAATAGAGGCATATACCTTATTACAATTTAAGTTACAATAACTTTTTACAACTGAAGACTGTCGCGTTTCCAACATTAGTCCCTAGTAACCTAAATACGGCGACAACTCAACGTCTCGTTTACATTGTCTCCTCTGAATAAAGAAAGTGTTGAAAAGCACAAGGCCCAGTTACCAACCAATAACTATCAATCTTGTGTTAGAAGATAAAATTCGACAAGCGACAACAGCAACAAAAACCGGCAGGACTTACATCACATGTTCCTGCACTGTTGACGTGTGAGTAGTGGTATGTGCTGCCAAATAACTTTGGCACAATGCTTACTTGTTCCCCCAAATTCTAAAATCACGTTAAAGTTAGCTACGTTAGCTTAACATAGGACATATTTAGGTATGAGTTTGGTTTTCAAGAAGGGCGGAGTATCCCCCACTACTCACTAACAAAGTAAAAATAAGCTTTAAAACAGCCAAGTGTTGGCTGACGCAAAGAAAATAAAAGACTTTTATCTGTTGCCAGAAATGCAGATATTGTTCTTTTTCTCGTAAATCCATGGTCGTCCTCTAGTTGAGATGAGGACAGTCAATTTGCTGTTCATTGCCGTGCAATTTTTTCAAAAACATCTTGTGCCTTCAGAGATGAATGTTCTGGCTCATAGCCAGTACGAAAAGCTGTCTCACTAAAGATTTAAAGTTTCTTAGTGCCTTGTTGAAAGTTTACCCTAGGACGGGGAACACTACAAAAATATTAATATTTTTTTGTGATATTGCCTCGATAAGAATTTTCTGCTGATTACGTTCCTAATATTACCGGTATAAGCATTAGAAGACTTAAGTTAACCTAAGGTAAGACAGAAGGTAGAAGCCAACAAAGAGGGCCTGCAATAAGTTCTTCAGGAGCCAGGATTTGGCTTTTTCATAGGCTGGGACTCAAGATTTTAGAGGAAACGACCAATGAGAGTCCAGATTGTATCTATAAACTGGATATATTCTGACTTAATGCCCACATTTTTCCAAAGTTGTCACGTGCCTATTTGACTGTACCATTGTGTTTTATCCCACTATCTGCCAATGGTACCCCTATAAAGCAAGGAAATGCTGAACCCCTTTGAGGCACTTTTTAGATCACACATTCATGATTGGGACTATCCAGTTACTCCCATCAAGATTATGAGAATGAGGGGAAATTTCAGCAGGATGACAGGACTGAAAACCCTGATTGGGGAGCCTCATTAAAGACTACTTAGAAAACTTATGCGGCAGCTGAATGGTACAACACTTGAGGCCATGTGTTGCTACTGGCAATGAAGCAACCTTGCTCCACTTGTTTTTCTCAGGGTCATAGCACTCTGTTTCCAAGGTGCAAAGTGCATTCCTGTCACATCCCCCGACGATGTAGATTTTGTCACTCTCTACAGATATCCCAGCATCCCATCTTGCTGTACTTGCAGGTGCAATAAAGGACCACTGATCAATCTCTGGTTCGTACACTTCACCGCTGTTCAGATGAACTGAGCCATCCCAGCCCCCTTGGAAGCAAATATATGAAAAAAGAACTCTTGAGAGAATTGTTTCTACTGCTAATAGAGAGGAAGAGCCATAACGTCATGTTGCCATGGTAGCAAAATTTCTGGATGACAACAAACCGAAAACGTTACTCAATGGTGAATTTGCACAGTTTCAAACTTCATCGATCTTATTTAATTTCATTTAATTTGTCAAATGTTGGCGAAATTTTCTGGGGTTGAATCCAGAGGGATCATCTAAGTTTAGAAAAAGAAAAAAAAAACATTTTTGTGTTCACATACTCCATGAAGAGGAAGCATGAACTTAAGAAGTTTCATGTCGCAGTAGTGCAACCATGGCTAAGAAATATACAAGAAAGCGTGATGCCCATGTGAAGTTGTTGTTTTGTTAAAATATACCTATTGCTTGTTCCTAATTGCTTGTCTAAGACAGATTAATGTAAATAATAATAAATTAACAAAGCACAATTTATTGCCACCTCTGACTTAGTATTAGAAATCAGGATCTCTGCCAGTTTCTCTAAGGGATATAAATAATGGGATGACTGCATTTAATTGTGAATGCAGATATTTTTAAATGGGGGGGGGGGGGGGGGGGGGGGGGGGGGGGGGGGTTAATAGAGTCAAAGTAGTATTTATGTGCATTTGTTATATTGTATAGGAAGGAAGTTTTTCTTGTGTTGTTGAGAGGGGAGGTAATTATTGGTGTGGTTGTGTTGTGTTGGGAAGGGGGTGTTTTGGGGGTGGGGGGGGGGGGGGGGGGGGGGGAGAGGAGGCTGTTCCTTTCAGGAAAATCATTAATTTAAGCAGTTGATAGCAAGCATCACCACAATTGTAAATTGTAAATATCTTATTATCCACTCCCCACAGGGCTTTTCAGGGATAATTAAAAAAACTGGTTGGGGGACTTTGCCAGACTGCTTAAGGTGCAGTTTACAAGTACTGAAGGAATGAGTGATGATGCCCCCATACATGAGTGTGAAAGTGAGATAGACCACTACATCGGGCACTATGTGCCCTACTCTTTACGAAGAGTGTGTGGGTTCTTTAACATCCCACAGATTTATTATATGTGCAAGGATTTGTGGGACGGGGCCTACGGTTTATCGTCCTTATCCGAGCAGACTAGAAAGTCTAACTGTTTGCAAATGTTATTACAAAGGCAGCACTTTCTCCTCAGTTATTTAAAGACCCTGAGTGTTGGTCCGGCCGGGGTTTGAACCTACGGCCTCCCGCTCACCAGACCGGCGCTCTCCCTACTGAGCTAACCGGGCGCCGGGCACAATGGGGCCAATATTAATAGTTCTGTGATTATCAGTACCATTTTTAGAAACAATTAACAGAGGCATTTAACTTGGATTGGTAGCCTACCAATTACATAAATTTTTCCATTTGTAGCTGCTCCTGAAGCACTAGCTCGCTTGTCATGCATTGGTGCAATAGATACCCAAGTGCCTGTCGCAAGGTCAAGGTATTCCCCAGTATTGAGTGACATGCCAACATAACTAACTCCACCAATAACATACAGCGCACGACATGTCAGCACGCATGGGCTGCTGCGGCAAGTGGTCATGGGTGCTGTAAATGACCATGTGTTTGTAGCAGGATTGTAACGTTCAACACTGTTTAAACGGAAGTTATTTTCATCGCATCCTCCCACTGCATACATATTTCCTGTATAAAAAATAATAAAGATAGATTAAGCCAGTTCTTTCTTGACAGACAGTTATCTCCTAAAGGCAGACATCTCCACAGTTTGAAACACCTCTATGACAACCTTGTTAAAATGTCTGTAAATTGGAACCCAAAGGCAGACACCTCTTGCAGCTGGAAAGACATTTCTCTATGACAAACATCTTAACATCTCTGTAAACTGGGAGGACCCCTGTTAACCCTTTTAAGTCCCACAAGTGGCTGATATCAATTTTCTCCTAACAACTTCAATGCTTAATCAAAAGAAAAGGTAATCAGAATTTGGTCTTTAAAGAAATTCTCTCAACTAGTTTTCAAAGAAATGTATGGAGATCAGTATGGAGAATTTGTATGTGAATATTGGGACTCAAAGGGTTTTAGAGTATACAACTACATCAGTTAATCCATTTTGGCTCTTAAAACAAGCAGTGGGGACCAAGCACTTCATCCAGTCTTCACATTTTTTTATTAATCACAGGAAAATAGGATGAAAAAAGCTGAAGCAGCAACTTCTGCAAAGCAGCATGAAAACGAACTTAATGTTAGGCTAAAATCAATACACTGTACTTAGAAAATAATAATAATATTATAAATGTCCATATGATTAATTTTCTCACCATCGAGAACTGCAACATTAAGCAAGCTGCGTCTAACATTCATTGGTGCGACCATTGTCCATGTGTTAGTTCTGGGGTCATACCTCTCCACTGAAACCAACGAACTCTGGGCTGCTCCTGGAAGAAGATAAACTTGGGCCATTTATCAAAGAGCATGTACCTAACCTAATCTATGAATATGGGTTCTGAGGCACCACTTTAAAGGGACTGGTAGATTTTCTTGCCGGGCAAGTAACTTTTAAAGCTGACTTGCAAGGTGTCCAGCCAAGTCATGCAGGTAAATCATTAACTAAAGAGCAAGACTATCTCAGATGTTAGAGCACTGGCCTGTGGACCAGGAGGTCACAGGTTTGACTCCTGGCACCAGAGTGATACTGAGGCTCTAACAATAACAGAGGAAGAAGTACTGCCTTTGCCCTACAAAAGACTAGACCTTGGCATGACTCAAATGACCACATAGAAATAGTGGTCCTGTCTCCAAGTGTGAGACATAAGACATGAGACATTGATCTTTTGTTTGAGTGTCAATGTAGTACTTGCATGCCACACTGACACTCAAACAAAAGATCAATAGGCAATGCCCCAGGGCAGCAAATTCAAATTCAAGTTTTTTCCCAACCCCTGGACTACTTCAGGAAAAGGTTTTAATGCCTACCCTCTCTTGACTGCCCACCAACTGCATACACCATGTCACCGGTGACTGCTAACCCATGACGACACCTTGCTATCAACATGCTTGCTAATGGGCTCCACCTGTTTACAGTGGGAAAGAATCCAGAAGCGTCTCTGGTGACCGAGGACCCCTGAATACCTCCAGCAGCAAATATAACTGAGATCACACCCATTGATCGCCTAGGCTTCGTTCTAGAACCTTTGATCAAGTGCCTTCGATCAGGCAACATGTGATAATTCTTTGCTTCCAGTAAAAGAGATGTACATTCTGGAGATGAAAGCACAATGTCTTCAGTTTCAACATGGTCTGCAAGATAATAAGGCGACATAAGAGGGAAGCGGATGTGTTGTGCAAGCTGTTTGAGATAGCCACGCCGTGCTTCCACGTCATAATTCATCCACTCCATAAGGGCCTCAAATACCTGCTCTTCCCGTTCAACCCTTATGTCATCACTAGCCAAACACTCCATCAAACGTTCGGCAGACAACAATTTAAACTCATCTGTTTGCGACACAGCGACAAAATTGTCGTAGACATATTGATTGGCCGTGTTTCTAAGAGCCGAACAATCAAATTTAAAAGCAGCAGCTTCTATTCCAAGACAATTAGAGGGGTTTAGCATAGATTTCATAAATGATACACAAGTTTCTTTCAAACTGGTCATTAGGAGGTAATTCGAAGCGGAAACAAAGTCCTTTACGTTGAAAGGAGTAATCTTGATGTTTCCTGTATAAATAAAGTTTAACAATTCTTCCATAATTTCCGCTGTTATGTTCTCCAGGATAACAGGTTTATTTTCCAAGTGTTCCTTCATGTTACTCGAAAACATCGCACGGAAATAAGGGCTGCTCGCGGCTAGAACGTTCCGGTGAGCATAAAACTGTTTTCCATTCACCACAATTACCACTTCACATAATATGTTGTGTTTCCGGAACTCGTTGAGTGAGTTCATCATCTGCAGGCAATAATTCGCCGCGGGAACGTACAACTGTGAGAGTTCAACAGACGCCATGTTTCTCATAAGTTTCTGCCACAGGGCACCCAAATTGACAGGAAATATCAGTCAATGGGTTTTTTTTTTGTCATACAGTCTATTCTTGAGTTACTTCCAAGATTCTAATTCCTGCAAAATCTATAACTATCTGGTTACAGTTAACTAGATCTACCTCTTCTCTTGATTTAGAAAAGACGTGGACCACCTGTTAAACTGTTGTTCTCATTTCTCATGACCTGTTTCAGCTGTCGTTCAGCTGTTCGGCTATCGCACCGTGGAGGATCTGGGGATGAAATTTACCGCTGATAAAAATTGAAGGAAAGTACCGACGGCTCGTATTTAAAATGGCGGATTTCGAGGTTGCACTGACTACAGATGCTGTTGGAGATACTTTCTGTATATCTCTATGGGATTTGGCCACGGGCATGCAGCTGAAAGTTTACAAAGGAGGATGCTGTCCTNTTCTCTTGATTTAGAAAAGACGTGGACCACCTGTTAAACTGTTGTTCTCATTTCTCATGACCTGTTTCAGCTGTCGTTCAGCTGTTCGGCTATCGCACCGTGGAGGATCTGGGGATGAAATTTACCGCTGATAAAAATTGAAGGAAAGTACCGACGGCTCGTATTTAAAATGGCGGATTTCGAGGTTGCACTGACTACAGATGCTGTTGGAGATACTTTCTGTATATCTCTATGGGATTTGGCCACGGGCATGCAGCTAAAAGTTTACAAAGGAGGATGCTGTCCTCCGCGGTGCGTCTGCTTGCTTGGTAAAGATTATATCATGGCGTCACAGGTTAATAAACCAATAATCCACGTGTGGAATACTGCGAAGGTAAACAAATATTAAAATTCAGTCATGTCTATACTTTTCAAAGGAAGCCCATTCTGCAAATATATATTCAGCTTCTTAAATTCAATCATTTATAAATGAACAGTTTGTAGCAGTCCTGCGTAGTCCTTGTTCTGTGTGCTTGATATCATAAGTGAGGCTAAGGGTTGCTCTGACATATGTACTACAAATGATGATGATGATGATGTTAATGATGATAATAAACTGATGACGATGATCTTAGCAGTTTTTTGGATGGTCACTCAATAAACTATTAACTGGCAGTCATCAACGAAACCTGGATCATGGATCATATCAACCCCTGTAACTCTATCCTTAAGACCTTAAGTCATTAGGGCCATTTACACAAGGAAAAATAAGACGCGTCTTACGTAAGAGGCATCTTACATAAGACGCGTCTTAAATAAGACGCATCTTAAATAAGATGCGAACTGTACCATTTATACGAGCATATCTTGTCTAAGACAAGAACAGCTCGTTTAAATGGTTTGCGTCTTATTTCTGTTCTTGACTCATTTTCATGTGAATGTTGCTTGTAGCAACGGCAATCCAACGTGGGGCGCCTAAAATTTACGCATGCGTACTATACGTTCGCGTCTTATGTAAGACGCGAAGGTCATTTATACGAAGTTTTTCTCGTCTTAGCTAAGACCCGTCTTATCTAAGAACAGGTATTAAAGGCTGTTCTAAAATAAGACGCGTCTTATTTTAGACCAAATGTGCCGTTTATACGGAAAGTTGAGAAAAACTTCGTATAAATGACCTTCGCGTCTTACATAAGGCGCGAACGTATAGTACGCATGCGTCTTATGTAAGACGCGTCTTTTCCTCGCATAAATGGCCCTATTAAGTGACTTATGTACCAGTCAATTCCAAAACCGCCCATAAGTCAGAAGTGTCTACATTGGCTAGAGTTTCAGAAATCACATTCCTGTTTGTTTGTTCATAGGAGTCAGTTCAGACCAGACTTATTTGTCCCGGAAAAGTAACATCTGTGACGTGTTCCCCTGATGGCACTTACTGTGTGGCAGCTTGTGGAGAAAAGATTTATGTCTGGCAGGTACTTCTGATGGTCACCCCTCACCAAAATATAAGTTTCTCTTAGGTATTGCTATAGATTCCACATGGTACATATTGAGAGGATTGTGTCAATAGCAGGACTAGATATGTATTGACATGTAAACTGCCACTACTGCATTTTTATTGAGTCTTTCCCCTTCCTTACGCTGCTCCATGATTGGAGAGAGCTGGCCTCTTTCTGAAGGCCAGTAGCCTGCTTTGAAATACAAACTAAGGCAATTGCTGGTTTAGCCTAGATTTTTTACTATGATGTGGGTTCCAAAACAAGACCAGAAGTGAACTCTAAGGTCTCTTCTGGTCAAGGATATCATTGGATTATCCCCATTTCTTATTTGTTTTGCTGTCGTTCATCAGGCATTTACGTAGGGCTGCTCTATGTATTCTTTGACAATAACCATCCAAGATAATTATCATTTTTCTAGGGATTATATTTGTGTCGGTGTTGATGATAAACTATTCTTCCTCCATCAAAATAATGTTAATTCCTGTTGTTTTTCTCTTTCCCTAAAGGTAGCAAGTGGTAATTTGTTAGTAATTCTGTCACGTCATTATCAGTGTATCTCATGTCTGAAATTCACCGATGATGGCTCTCACTTCTTGTCATCCGGGGAAGATAACTTGGTGTTGGTGTGGAAAATGGCAAGGTATACTTCAACATGTTGAGTTTAATCTCAGTTGCGGTCACTCCATATTAAAGAATGTCTATCAGATGAGAGCATGGAAGTTTTTTGCAGACACCAACTTACATCAACTAGTATAAGAAAACTTACTGTATCTCCCACTTATCTCATACTTATTGTATCTCCCACTTGCCACGGTTTTATCCCCACCAATGATGGTGTGGGTTTTGGTATTTGTTTCTTTAGGATTTTGTCACTTGCATCAAGTGCTACAGGAGCATTTGAATCAGCCTTGAGTCCTTATTATACTTGGTCTGACCACGCCCTTCCAGTTACCGATATTCACTGTGGCTGTGGTGGTATGAGAGGTCATGTGATCACCTCTTCTCTTGATCAAACATGCAAGGTAAAGTTCCACATCAAAGCTTAAAATATTTTTAATAACTAATGCATAGCAATATTGCTAGAAAATACAGTGGGAAATGCAGGGTCCGAAATTAACTTTTTAATATGAGCACCAACTGGCGATCAAGTATAAAGTTTTGGTCGCCAGAGGGCAAATTGTGGTCGCCAAAAATTCCCCCTCCCTTTTTTTAAAAATAAAAGTTTAAACATGAATAAAAGATGTATAGTATGGACGTTTTTGTGCTTAAAAATTGCAATACTTCCGCTCCCGATACCAGAAAGCAACCGTACGTGTACGAGTGAAGTCTCATTTTTTCCACAAATTACTTTTTGGACATATACATGTAAAGCCATCTGATCTAGAACGTAGGAACAGAAAGCTGTCTGCCCATGACTGCACCGGATCATATCAAAACTGTTTTCTTCAGATAACTACGGCGAAACAATCCACGAAACAACCACGAAACATAACCGCCATGTTGTTCGTACCAGGCCACATTTTTTTCTGTGCCACATTACTCGTAATGGCGGCTTGGAAACGTTCAACTCGTATTGATAGTAGTTGTTGTGGAGGTATTATTACAGGAAGCTCCGTTTCACTTAAGTAAAAAATATCAGCAGGACAAAAAACAAGACACCTGTTAGCAAATAGCTTTGAGGTTTCAATTCTTAATCAGTTTCTCCGAACGTTTAAGTCCACAATAACAACCAGCTTTACAAGTCGCTAGTTGGCAACCAGCTATGAAATTCTGGTCGCCAGGACTAAATTCTTAGTCGCATTGGTGACCAGGAAAGCGCAATTTCGGACCCTGAAATGATAGCAATGCACTTGAGGGAAGAGGAAACACAGGAGACTCCATTTTTTCTTTGTGGCACTCCATATTCTGCATTGTATGTCTCTTTATAATTCCATGAAACATTAGAGCTGCCTCACACCTCAAATTAACTACCACAAACAACAGCACTAATAGTTTTGAAAGTCTGACTGATGAAATTCTTGGACACTTTTATTATGACTCATAATTTGGTAATCTCTTGTTTCAGTCTGACTTATGTGATCATAATGGTGAGAGAGGTGTCTGTGGAAGGGTGATTGTAGACACTGTAGCATGAATCAGGAAAACTGAGATTTGCGTGAATAAATGGCAAAAAAAATATTATCCAGGTTCACTTTATCCAGCAGATGTTTGGATTGAGACACTCAGTTATGTATAAGAGAGTGGCATGCATGTAACATATAAAGTCCTCATTTTATATATTGTTTTGTTTCTAGTTGTATGACCTGAGTTCTGGGGAGCTCTTGTGTTCATTCGTTTTTAATGTTGGAGTCACTGCTGTAACCATGGATACTTCAGAACAGAGTTTGTTTGCAGGATGTACCAATGGGCACATTTACCAAGTAGAACTTTCCAGACGGGTATGAACCCTAGGTTAAAGCTGGGATCAATATAGGTTTCTGCGAAACTGCACACCTACCCCTTCCCTAAGCCAACATTATCACTTACTTCTCACTTAGGGCAAAATGTTGGCTTAGGGTGGGCTAGGTGGGCAGTTTCCTATTCATCCAAGCACTGTAGTGTTTTTGGTTTTTCTGTGGCTGTATGAACAGAGGAGCCGCATATCTATACTTCCTTTACCAGTTACAGATGCTCAGTGAAGTACCATTAAGGAAATTAAATAATTATAGCAACTGTTATTTTGTTCATCAATGTAACCCCTTATTCTTTTTTCCTTTTCATTTTTCATTGATTAAAGGATGCAAATTAAGCCTTAATTGTAACTTAGGACCTATTCACTCTTGCAAAATATGATAAGATTTAGATAACTTTCAGGGTTTTTTTAATTTCTAACAATCACCTCTATCATTCTTATATGGAAAAAACATTTTAATAATGCTATAATCTTTTTTACAATGCACCATCTTTGACATGATTTTCAGGGTATGAAGAATAATATTCACATGGAAAAAGAAGAATCACTAATCTTCACTGGTCCCAGGTGTTTTATTTTTCTTTAATGACAGGTTAATTTAGATCTTATCTTCTGCCAAATGTTAGCACTTTTCAGTTGGTTGACATAGTGATCAAAAGGATCAACCACTTTCCAGTGCAAAAGAAACATAGCCACCTCTGCCATTTTTAGTATCCATCTGCTTGGAACTCATTCTCTCTCCCAGGGTCTTTTTTTTAAAAATATGTCATAATCAGGGATACTTTGAACTCAGTCACACAACCCTTTTATGACAAAGACTCCAAAATAATGACTTTTTTCACCAAATTATTGAAGTAAAATGTAAGGGGCGAGCCCCAGATATAACCAACACATTTTAAAGTCTCTTAGCATGTAGATCAAGGTTTCACTGTTACATAAATCAGTATTGACTGATTTTATTCCTCTCTGCTAGTAAACAAGTGAACAGTGTAGCAGTCAGCATGGATGGTTCTCTTCTCTTGTCAGGCTCTGAAGATCAAACTGCTCGTGTTTGGCACGTTTACAGTAGACAGTGTCTGAGGGTGCTGAATCACAGAGGTAATATGAACCTTTTGATTGGACTCCAGTCAGTTCTTGCTTTGCGGACACCTCACTATTACAGACACATCAATAATACCTATAGCAACTACACCCCTAGGCAAAAAAGTTATTACACTAGTTTGACTAAATTTATCTTCCAGTGTTACTGACTCCCTAGGGGAGGGGAGGTATCCAACAAAGTTTTTACGGGAGGCCCCGCCCGGAAGTCCAACCTCTTATATTTTTATACACATTTTTGCCAGAAAGGGTATTCCTTTCATATACCTTCTATTGACAAATGGTATCCCTTGGACATACCTAGTTTAGAAATTCACATTGCTTTTAAATGCTGAAAAATAAACCTCAAACAAGAGCGTTTTCTCGACTTTTTCACTGTCATAAAATGCATCTGTTAGTCCTTTTGGCCTTTTAACGCACCAAAATGACAGATTTCCCTACCCTTTCACACACTTCAGCAAGCAGCAACAATATCATGTGATGGAGAGGGGAAGTGTGACGTCACGTTACCATGGTAGCAAAATTTCTGGATCACAACAATAGTGAGCTTAAGGTGACATTACGCGAAACCATTCGCAACGACGATTTTTAGCGCAACACAGTTTTGCTATGTTGGAACAGTGTTGCAATCATTTGAAACAATGTCACAACAATGTTGCAACGCTGTTTTGCGCTAAAAATCGTCGTTGCGAATTGTCCCCTGTAAAACTTCCTAATTTCACTCGCCCGCTTTATGGATTAGGTGAACACAACACAAAAATTTCTATTTCTTTTTGTTACCTTAGAGACGGTTCCTTCAGACTCAACCCTAGAAAATTTTGCCAAAATTTGACAAATTAAATGAAATTGAATAAGATTGATAAAACAGTGCGAATTCACTTTTTAAGTGACGTTTTCGGTTTGATGTCAATCAGACATTTTACTGCCATGGCAACTTGACGAACTGACTTCTCCTCTCTATAAATATATAAGCTTTGGCAGCCTTCAACAACGAAGCCAACCTACCATGTTTCTTTGCAGGCGGGGTGACAAACGCTTGTATCGTTCTCAGGCCCCTCTATCTTGACAGTGCCCCTACAAAGTCTTCCCTTTCTCCGATACAGCCTTTTAAAAGACACATGCATGTACCTGTACAGTCACGTGATCGTCAGTTGACGGGTCTTTCAAGTCCAACTGATGGCGGCGATTCTCACGCAGATGGCATTCCCATGGTCCTTAGGGGGAATTTGTTGGCTGAGGTAAGCAGTCTCATGGTCCTTAGGGGGAATTTTGTGGCTGAGGTATGATAACGGTAACTAGGAAATCTCAATTTGGCGTGAAACGAGGGATGCTTCTGATTTTATCATTCGGTACAATGTGGTTTCAATGAGCGAGCCTGTGACCATTCAAATGAAAGCTTCTGAGCTCTGCACAGTATTTTATGCTTTTCTAAGCAGAAGGTTCTAAATTTTGAGTCTGAGGATGAAATCCTCTCGTATAACCGTGCTGCCACCATAAAACATAAAAAAGATCACGGTAAGGATATCTTTTTTACCGTGCTGAAAATTTTCGAATAGCTTACTAAGCAAACTTTTTTTTTTTCATTTTTTTCTGATCCTGAGCTTTATAAGCTTTAATCTGTGTGATAGATAACCGATTCAGTTGGGTTTTTTTGTTTGTTAGGGAAACAATCTGGAAAATTTAGAGGACAAGCGTGAAGTGATGGTGCGACAAATTCTCAATGACGTAAGTGCCTTTGATCTTAAGCCGCGTTATATTTTCTCTGTAAGTTAAATACAGAGCCTCTGTATGGCTATTTCTGACGAAACCGAAGCGGCGATGATCGCTATTGATGAAGCGATGATCTTAGAGATTAAAGCGACGATTGCATGGTCTTTCCAATCAAGCTAAACAACGTTAGTCGTGCAATGACGGCAAAGAAATCTGCCTAAAACTGTGCTACGCGTTCAGAGTTTTAAACCCGCTGCAGTTTTGTTTTCTTGTTTCGGTCGTGATTGTGGTTGCGCTGAGCTCGCTATTAGCGTTACCACGCAAAACAATTCTTGATATGCGGAGATTTTAACTGAAGAGTCGATTATTTGATGGAAAACGTGCGACGACATCGACGTCCTTAAGTACCCATACAGAGGCTCGGGTAAGAATAAAGGAAACAATCATTAAACCTCTGCCTTCAAACTTACTCTCCTAAGCGACAAGCTCTAGTCATCACCAGGTTTTAACAAACTTGAGATGGTCACTTAATGAGATGATGTACTTACTGAATTGTTTTCATGTTAGGTCTCCAAGTTTGACGGACGCGATGCTGGACTAGAAGAGAAGCGAAAGCTATCTCGTACTGAACTGGAGGAGGAATTAGAAAGCGTCGGACGAGTAAACCGAAAGTTTTACAGATTTGCCGTGGACGAGTTGATGAAAGAGGTCTATGAAGTCACAGAGAAAGATGGTACCTGAGGAGCCTTGTTTGTAATCTGAGGGGCTCTTAAAGAGGATCAAGCCAGCGATGAAACAGTTAGCGTGAAATTTTTAGACTTGTCGTGGACGAGTTACTGAAAGAACTCGGCGAGGTCAGGTGTATGACTAGGGCGGATTACTATGAAAGGCACCAAGAGAGAAGCAAGGCTGAGATTCAATTCTAAAACCGAAAGTTTTACAGATTTGTAATGTTTCAGTTAATGAAAGTCCCCATGGTCAATAAGAAGAATGCCTTAAAAGACTTGGTTTTATTATTAAGACTAAGCCATGAGCAAGTTTCTCTACCGTTATACTGACAGTTTGAGATATCACCGTGGTTACACTGTCACGTGACACTAATAGGAAGCTTAAGCAACGATGACGGTGACGTCAACGAGAACGGCAAAAAAGCAGTTGGTTTAGATTTGCAAAATAACAACTTTGCACGTGTATCAAGTTTTATTGTACATTTCTTTTCCGTTACTGCACGACTACGACGTGAAAATGCCTAATTTCACCATTTGTCGAGGACGGGAACACAAGACAATAACTTTCCTTCTCTTTTCCTGAACTTTGATACAGTCCTTTAGAATTCAATTCCAAACAAATTTGCCAACATTTGACGAACTAAACGAGGTAGAATAAGCGCGATAACGTTTGAGGCAGCGCAATTTCACTTTTTAAGTGACGTTTTCGTACCTGTCGCAGTCGTTGTTGCTAAGCTCCCCAATGTTTGATTCGTTGGTGACACTAAACAGTTTAGACTGCATAACAGGCGTTTTGTGATTGGTTTTTTCTGTGCGACATTGCTGGTTTTGCATCACTAAGCTGTCCGATTGGTTAAAAAAATCTCACGCTATAATAATAACAGTAATAATAATAATAATAATAATAATAATAATATTAATAGTTTATGAACTTATTGTGCGCAGCTTAACGTGAGAATGATCAGCTGCCCATTACAACTACATTACTTTACAAGAAACAAACAAAAGATAATGCATTTAAAAAATAACAATATCTCAACCAATCAGCTTAAAAACGAATTGTGACGTCTTCTTACACAATCTTCAGCCCTTTACGCCTACTGGTTTAGTTCGAACGCTGAATGTTTCATTGATTTGTCTACTCAATACTGTTTCCCATTTTAAAATATTTACTCATTAAAAAAGATGTTCCTTCCCTAATGTGTGACTCATGTGCGTGGGACGGAAAAGTGAAGGAAAGGGACTGCCTTAAAGTTAAGTTCATGTAGTTGGTGATCGTGAAATCATCGGAAATTAAACCCTTTAAAGGCGTTTACCGATCAATTGCACAAAAGTGTAAACTCTGCGACCCAAATAATAGACAGATGTTTTTTTTGTTTTGTTTTGTATTTTTTCTCAAACGGCTTTGGTGCAATTCATGTAACAAGTTTCAGAAAAAAACATACACCACAGGAACATTTATGGAAAAAGCTTTTCTTGAGAACCCAAAACTTTCATACTTTTTTCCAAGACTAGATGATCTTCTAAATTAAGGGCAAATCTTCCGAGGCTCGTTCTAAATACGTAAGTTAATTGTAACGGGTTCATCCTGTAAGTTCAACTGAGGACTTTTGGGGGAAGCTCTTTCCGTTCGATTGAAAGAAGTTGCCACTTTTGTACAATTGCTATGAATAGACAGTCGCTATCTAATTTCCGTCAACCTATAACAGTCACAGCTAATTATCTACCGTTTATAGTTCTTTTTCGCCTCTTCTCAAGAAAACGTCGTTTTTTATGTACACATCCTCATTAGAACTATCGGTTATTTTCAACAGCCAGACAGTTTGCAACGGTTATATTGAAGGCAACCCTCCCTTTTTAGGATCTCGGGCGAGATTTTATCGCCAGAATTATTGACCGAGCAAACCTTTGCCATAAAAAAAAACGTTTTCTCAGTACAGAAACTGCCGTCTTTGAAAAGAGGTGCGATGAATTTAAGCTACACGCGCCAGCCTGGTTGTGAGGTGGACACGATGGTTGGCGAAAGACTAGAACATCCTTCGCCATTTGCTCAAGCGAGTTTAATGTTCCTCATTGTCATCAACATCATCACCTTTCCTTTCACTGCTGCCTTAAACGCGCTGGTGATGATCGCCGTTAAAACGAAATCCCGACTAAGAGTCCACAAGTCAAACATTTTACTGGCGATGCTGGCATCCACGGATTTCATAGCTGGTATCCTAGCTCAACCAACGTTCATCGCGATAGCTATAATGTTGTTGCGCGGCAAGCAGAATGTATACTGTTTACTTCTAGTCTTCAGAATTGTCATCGCGGGACTGTTTCTTGCTACGCATTCCCATCTCGTTTTGATCGCAGGAGAGCGCTATCTAGCCGTACTACATCCATTCCTACACATTAGCTATGTCACTGTACCTCGTTTGCTAGCGGCTTCAATCTTGGCATGGCTCTTCTCTGTAATTATTCTAATCCTATATATACTCGTTGAGAAGAATGTATTTTTTGCCATGATCTTTTCTTTATTTGTTTTATCTGTTGTCTTTAATGCCATTTGCCATGTTAAAGTTTACCGTGAAATCCGCCGAAACGAACAGCAAATTGCAGCTCAGCAAGTTACACGAGAAGCAAGTCAACAATTACTAAGAGATAAAAAAGCTCTAAAGTTAACTTCTATGATCCTTGCAGCTTTACTTTTTTGTTTCATCTTTCCATTTGCATTAACTGCTGTAGTGAGGTATGGATTTGATGCAACTGTCGAAACTAGGCATATCCTTGTATGTTTTGGAATTTCAATAACTCTGCTGAATTCCCTATTCAATCCGATCATTTATTCAGTTAGAATGAGACAATTTCGCGTAGCGTTCATCGAATTAATTTATAGAACTGTGAACATTACTGAAGCGGAAGAGATTGAGTCGCGATTTTTTGGAGCGAGGGTTAGAATTGAAGCTGGACAAGAACGAGGAGAACAAGGTCAACAAAATTTGGAACTTGAAGTTGTGCAGAACAACGCGAATCAACGATGTGATATTACAGCAGCAAAATCATGCCATGGACACTAAACAGTTCTTACGGTTGCCAGGTACATTACATCGTCATAGTATATAGACTGATAAGCGTCTTAATCGACTGGTATACTATATCCATTCTGTACCACTTACGGATAGCACTGAGTTATCATCAACATTATCATTCAGCTGAAATAATGTTAATTTTTCGTATATGTGTATATAACCGCTTTACTGCTTGGCAAATTTCGGTGAATTGCTGTTATTGAATTTAATGAAAGAACAAAATAAAGTTATTTCAATAGCTTTATGTATTATTTAACCGTTGGGGTCTCATGTCTGATATTCTCGGACTGAAGGTTCCAGAGTATTATGACTATTAAAATAAAGTTGAAATCAACTAAACGCATTTTTCTAATCTTTGATCACTTGTTGTAAGCAAGACTGCGATTTTTGCAATTCTTGTCAGTTCACATTAAGAGAGGATAATCATTTTTTTGTTGCTAAATATGATGATAGATTTGTACAACGTCAAATTTATTTGCGCGCTTGAGAGCCCATCCTGCGACTTGTTTTAGAAAGAACAACATGTCTCCCTCTTTAAGCGAAGGGATTGGGGTTTTTAGTTTTAAGTTTAAAACAATTTTTGAAATGGGGTTTTAGTCTTTAAATTTGCAGTTCTTAGGTTTATATTGTGTGTCCTTTAAAAGCGGTTGTCGATCTTTCCTTTTGTGAATGTTCGGTTTTCGGTTCTTGTAAAAAAAGTGTCTTTTCGCATTTTCATATTTGTTCAATTTGTTTCCGGTTTTGCTTGTGTTGGTCATTACATTCTCCGGCTGAATCTGCCCTTAATTCTTTTCAGTTATCATCCATTTTATTTCGGCTTTGTGATTTTCGTCGACTTTTTTTTTCTGGTCTTGGGACTTTCGGTTTTCAGTACAACACCGTGAACAAAGGCACTGTCTGGAATTTTTGCACAAAAACATCCTTAAAAACACAAAGCACACCAGGTGTTCGAGAATAAATATAAACAAGACACGTCACTATTGTAGCAAGAATTAAATTATGCCAAGTAAATCAGAGAGATGTAATGATAATAAAATGTCACTTCAGCACAGTAGTGAAAATGACAGATACTGAGACAAATATGAATCCCTAGAAAAAAAAAATTAACTTAGTGAATTTTCACCAGGTAAAAATAATCCCCCAAGCCTTTGCGCCCGCGTCTCNAGGTGTTCGAGAATAAATATAAACAAGACACGTCACTATTGTAGCAAGAATTAAATTATGCCAAGTAAATCAGAGAGATGTAATGATAATAAAATGTCACTTCAGCACAGTAGTGAAAATGACAGATACTGAGACAAATATGAATCCCTAGAAAAAAAAAATTAACTTAGTGAATTTTCACCAGGTAAAAATAATCCCCCAAGCCTTTGCGCCCGCGTCTCTTTTGCGTTTCTTGTCCAGTTAAGTGCGTGCGCAAAAAATAATATCTTAAGTTTAATATTTATTGCGTCATAATAGCGCTTCAGTTGAGCGAGATGAAACGCCAAAATATTTTTCGACCACTGTGGATAAAATTTGTTACCACAACCGTACACACTAAATGGGAAACGGATGTTCTTGTAGCAAAACTTTGCTTTTTGGTAGTTTGAAGTCTAAAGAAAACGATAACGGAAAGGGAGCGGAGAAAATAGAAAACCGAAACGACGTTAAAAGGTCTCCCAAAACGAAGACAGGCGCTTTTAAAGAGGCCGTGAAAAACAGCGTTGACATTGATCCATGCGAAAAAGACGAAACAGTCATCCAGAAAGTCAAGGAAATCAAGGTGTTACCTCCGATTCGTAACAAAGGGAACGCTTTGCCTCGTATTTCATATACGCCCAACAGGGTGTGGGGCGGGAGCGTCAGCTCGTTTTTAGATACAATCAAACGTGATTCAATTGTCGATGAAGATATCATTACAGGTAGGCAAATATACACATCTTTTAAACTTTTTAAAGTTAAAAGAGCTTTTAAGCAATTGAATCGATTTTTATGGGGAGAAAGTTTACTTTATGATGCATTTTTTATTGTAGCGAGCGCAAATAACAAGAAAATTACAAATACCGTGTTTAGTCGGGGGAAAGAATATCTGAGGCTACTCTTTTTCTTGATCTAAGGAACTACCCAAGTACCCTTTCCTTCATCCAACAGTTTGAATTGATCTAAGTAAAAATTACGTGTTAGCGACTAATTTGGGGAGTGGTAGGTGGGTAGGTTCCGAGATT